CTGATTTGCTGGCTCAGGAAGGACTCTTACGTCGTTTTCACAGGTCTTAGGTGGGGCGCTCTGTTGACCAATGATTCTCTGATGTCACTTTTGCTAATGCTGTTATGACTTCAGGACCGATGGGCGCTTCATCGCAGACAGCCACGACCGCAAGTCACTCCACTTTTGGCCTCGTTAGTTACGGTCCATGGCAATCACGTGGCAAGTGCCCAGTTCTGGCAAGAGAAGGATTAGGAAATAATCCGTGTCTTTCAAATTGTCTCTTTACGGACAGGTTAATTATCCGAAGAGATCACTTACTCGAAGATGCTTTCAATCAGATTATGGGCTATTCCAGAAAAGACCTGCAGAGAAATAAGCTGTATGTCACGTTCGTCGGGGAGGAAGGGTGAGTGGCTCGGAGAAGTCGCCTGCGCAGCACCGGCTGCTGTGGCTGGGGCAGCGGCTGTTTGCCCGCAGGCGTCAGCTGTGGCTGCCCGAGGCAGGAAGTTCTCCTGGCAGGAAGTGCTGTTCTCTTACACTGCAACCTCTCGGCTTCCTCTGGTTTTTAAATCACTTGACAGAGAAATTCTTTCATTAAAAACTCATCACTACATATCATTTTTGGGAGCAGAAGCTGGTTGGGTTTCCTCTTTCTGGAACTCTTTCTTTTAAAGGGAAAAAGTGGCCTTTGAGGGAACAAACAAGGAATTGCATTGTAATGACTGGGCTCCTGTTTTCCGCCCTGGGGTGCACGTCAGTCGTGCTCCACCTGTTCAATAAGCTCAGTTTCAGAATCACGATTTAGAAACTAGCGTTCTCCAGAGAGGAGCGGGGGAGGGGGAGGGGCGAAATAGGTGGAGGGGATTAAGGGGTGCAGATTTCCATAATTCCTTGTAAAATAAGTGTCACAAGATGTAACGTAAAGCATGGGGCATATAGTCAGTCATACTGTAACAACTTTGTATGCTGACACAGTGGTGACTAGACATACAGTGGTGGTCATCTCATAATGTATAAAGATACGGAGTCACTGTGTTGAACACCTGAGACTAATGTAATATTGTAAGCCAATAAAAAAGAGATCGAGGAAAAGAAAAAGAGGGAGGAAGAAAAGGATCCTCTTGTTCTGGCAGGAAACCTTTCCAGCAATAGCTCTTGGGCTTTGGTTCTTATGTCTCTGTCCTCACTTTTTCTCTCCCTTTGGGACGGCAGCACATCTACCAAAATAACTACCTGCCATAAACATCTCCAACCTTCTGTGACTCTTCCGTGAGTGTGCTCACACAGAGAAGGATTAGGAAATGAGGGAGTGCAGACTCCTACACAGTGTTTCTTGCCTCCAAGTAGGCATAGCAGTGGTTCTGTGACCCTTCAGAAAATGACGGCTCTCATTTCTCCCACACTCCTTCCTCTCTCCTCATCCCAGGCGTAGGTTTGGAGTCTCAGCCTCTTGTTTGTAGCCCAGTCGTTCCTGGAGTGAACTTTAAAATGCCACGTGATTGCCTGCGCTCTGGCTGTCTGGTCCTTAGCTCTCTGTCTCCTGTCGACTTGGATCATCTTAAGGCTGCCCCTCTCAGGCTTTCCCCCGAATAAGGGATATTAGATTAGGGTGTCATAGTAATAATAGTTAACTGAGTCAATCGTTTGGTATGTGGTTGATGAAACAGAGGTTCCAAAGTAAAAAATAATTTGGACTTGCTAACAGAACTAGATAGTTGCAAAACTGAGATTCAAAATTAGGCCTTTTGTCTTTCATCCAGGATTCTCAGACCTACACTGGAATGTAGGCAAAACTCCTGAACTCTGATCTGTCTGAATTTCTTTCCTACCCACAGATCTTATTGTTATTCCAGCTAGTGACCTGTAACTTCTCTTATCACATATACTGTTGTATAGTCTCCCAGCTGTGACCAGATTAAAGTAAAATATTATATGGGAGAACAGTATAATGTAACAGAGTTTGGGAAGCTTGCCTGAGACTCGAGCCTTTATTGCTGACATGCCTTAATGGACTTGTGGCTTTTGTTCGTTGACTTAAAGATGCAGGTGCACAATTGAAAATGAAGGCAAATGTTTTTAGCCTCATCACAGGTATGCATGGGATTCCAAGCATTTCCTTCCATAACCAGTCTGGTTTGGATGAGAATGCTTTTCCTCCCCTAGAACTCCAGCTGACGTCCCTGTTGGGCCACAGTTTGCGGAGATCGTAGACATGTAGGCAAGAGTCTCGGGAAGCCCTGGGACTTAGGTATGACTAGAACAGATGCTTATCATGCTTGATCATGCTTAGACAGTCTCCCCGTGGTCTGAACTGACATCCGTTCCTGGGAGGAGGCCCAGGCAGAGTGAGGCTTGATACCTCTGTATCTGATGGCCACTCGTGTCCAAATGTTTCCTGCCTCCATTACCTGTCTTCTTCCTGGAACTCCAGAAGGAAAATAAGGGGGAGGATATTCTGAGGTGTGACCTCAGCCCTCAGGGACAATCTCTTAATCAGGCCCCCTGCCTATGGCTTACTGAAGCTGAAATAAGGCCCGATAATTTCTGGTCTCATGGCTTTATCATGTCAGTATCATCCACATAGATTATTAGCTAGAGACTATTTTGCTGTTAAGGCATTAAAAATACACAATGCTGTTTGAAAGGTTAACAAAGTATATATACTGAAAAAAATAGAAACTGTAAAACAGCATAGAATTAAGAAGTTATTTTAGCCTTTGCCATCTTCTTACATTAAAATTAAAGTTCATAACATTTCTTTCTGGATTATAATCAGGGCCCAAAATGAAAAGCGACCTAGAATTTTCTGTGGAACTGTAACATGGAGCTGGAGTTTTCTGTTACTTTCTTGTCTTTGTTAATTCTAATGCCCTCAAAATGTGCCATTTTGTAAGTTCTTCTGGTCGGGGGCTAGTCATAGGTATTTAAAAACATACACACGTAATGCCCAGATCTTGGCATTCTTCAATAAAAGGGACCAGGGCTCCTTGGAGAGATGGCTGACTCTAGGACTGGGCAGGAATACACGGGACAGGGCCTGGAGCTCTTGTGCCAGGAAGCACAGAAGAGCTCAGACAGCCCGCGGTGATGTTAAAGGGACACAATCACCAACCGAAAGAGCCCCCAGAGGTCAACGCTGGAATAAGCTGAGCAAGGAAATAAAGCAGTTTGGATCAGAACCCCAAAGTATAAAATAAATATCCATAGAGGTATAAATGCACAGTTGAATAAATAAGGAGAATAGACCAATCTCCTGTGCAGAAGATTTACAAAAATTCTGAACAGTTCCCTGTTCCTTAACCGTGAGTTGTACATAGTGACTTTCCTCCAAATAGTGCAGTATGAAAAGAAAGAGGGGGAAGAGAAGTAAATCTGTAGTGGAGAAGCCTGACAGACATGTAACCAGGTGATCAAGGCTAAATTCGACAGTGAAATGTTGTGTTGATGGTACGTCCCCTTGACATGATGTGTTGAGAATGACACTTTACTCTCTTCCTCCCCAAAACACGTAACACAGGAGGAAAACATTAGATGAATCCAAA